TGTCCTAGTGTTTTGATGTCACGGGTAGTAAAGCTTGTACATAAGGCTCCTTGTGAGATCCCACATCGGTTGGAGAGGGGAACGAAATATTTTTTATAAGGGTGTGGAAACCTCTCCCTAGTTGGCACATTTTAAAAACATGGAGGGGAGCCAGAAAGGGGAAGCCCAAAGAAGATAATATCTACTAGCGGTGGGTTTGGGCTGTTACCCTCCTACTTTTTGGGTTGTCCCTCCATTTTCAGGCCATTGGATGGTCAGTTTTCAACGTGAATTTCCGTTTCTTCCAGATACTGAGGATTGCTTATTTAGCTTTTAGCCTCTTGGTGGTGTCATACTTGCAATAAATTCTTTTGTTATTATCCAATTGTGTTGATTCACAATAATAGTAAGAGTTTTTGTGACCCGCTTTTTTTGGAACGTTGATGATGTCCCATCAAATTTCCTTGTTGATATTGATCTAGTAAATAGGTATTACAGATGTTGTGGAGATTGCTTCATTTTTTTTTTAAATTTGACGTTGTATCTTTGGGCCTTCCTTCAGTGAGCGAAACAGAAGTGGAAAGATTAAAGCATGCTCTGAAGTTTCTTTCAGAAGCTGAGAAGCAGTTGAGAGTTTCCAGTGAGCGTTCAACCTGGTTCACAGCAACGCTGTTGCAACTTGGTTCCATAACTTCTCCAGATTTCACTCAGACAGGCAGCAGTAGACGACAGAGCTGCAAGACAACTGATGGTGATCCATCAAGCACCTCAAATGGGAAAATTGCCTACAAACAAATGTCATTGGCTCAACTTATGCCTCCAAAGCTAGGTTCGCCTGCATCGTCCACACATAAACAGTCCATTGAAGGTAAAGACGTGTCATTTTCACGTGAAGATGCGACTCTTAGAAATATGGTTTACAGATGCAAAAACTCAGAAAAGTTGGATAGCATCTGGGTGCACTGTATTGAAAGATGCCACTCAAAGACGTTGAGGCAGCTAATGTATGCTCATGGAAAGCTTCTATCCATCTCAGAATCTGAAGGTAACGACCAGATACTAAACCTTTGAAATTATGCCAATTTTCTATGTGAATTTGAGGTCTTGGTGTGAGATCTCACATCAGTTGGAGAAGGGAACAAAATATTCCTTAGAAGGGTGTGGAAACCTCTCCTTAGCAAACGCATTTTAAAACCGGGAGGTTGACGGCGATACATATCACGCCAAAGCAGACAATATCTGCTAGCGATGAGTTTGGACTGTTACAAATGGTATCAGAGCCTGTCATTGGGCAGTGTGTCAGTGAGGAGCTAGTCCTGAAGGGGAGTGGATTGTGAGATCTCACATCGGTTGAAGAGGAGAACGAAGCATTCCTTATAAGGGTGTGGAAACCTCTCCCTAGAAAACACGTTTTAAAACCGTGGAGAGCTGACGGCGATATGTAAAGTGTCAAAGTGGGCAAAAGTGCACTTTTAAAGGCTGAAAGTTTATTTTATTGATACGGGCCGAAGTTTGTCTGGGATTTCATCGACATGGGCATGGCACTTTGTTTATTATCTGCTGTCTTCTGGAATTGGACCCTGTCTTTCTTTCACTTGATAGGCAGTTTTAACTACTGCTGCTATACTGCTAGAACTAAAAGCTTAAGATTGAGCGCTTTCTGAAAACTTGGCTTTTAACGTACTATTTTTACTCTCTATCTTGTTTCTTTCTATCATTGCTGAATTTCTTCTGCTTGCAGGTACCCTTATAGCTTACGTTGCCTTTGAGGATGCAGATATCAAATCCAGGGCTGAAAGATTTTTGAGCAGTATCACAAATTCTATGGAGATGGTTCTTAGATGCAATGTAGAGGTTAGGATCATTTTGTTACCAAATGGTGAGACTTCTATTAATGGTATGGCTGCAGCCAAGTTGTCCGAAGGTGTAGAACCCAAACCGGTCGATAAAGAACGAAAAGCTGCCAATCTTAATGAAATGGAGGGCTATTCTAACAGCTCTTTGATGCTGGATGCAACATATCAATCAGTCTCTGATTCGTCGCAGCTACAAACCGAAAGCAACAACCAAAAAGATGGTTCAAGGGATAGGAGACAAGAGATCCCAATGCAGAGAATCGAATCAATTATTCGTGAACAAAGGTTGGAAACTGCCTGGTTACAGGCCATGGAAAAAGGCACTCCTGGATCTTTGAGTCGTTTGAAACCTGAGAAGAATCAAGTCCTGCCTCAAGATGGTTCATACTATAAAGATCAAATGGAAGAAATGAATTCAACAGGGGACTCCTCGCTGAAATGGGAAGATGAATTAAACCGTGAACTTAAAGTGCTGAAGGTTAATGATGATATGATTGCCCAGAAGGAGCAGGTTGGCAGGCTGGTGGACCGCTATGCCATCTCCCCAAGTATACTGCACGATGGCAGCATGGTGGCAAATTCAAACAAGGATAACCTGTGAGTTTCCTAGTTTATTATAGAATTATGAGATTTTCCTACCTTGAATTTCAATACTTTTTTATCGCAAACTAAGAGTATAGGATGAACGGTGAGATACCTCATTGGTTGGGGAGGGGAGCGAAATATTCTTTATAAAAGCGTGGAAGCCTCTCCCTAGCAGACGCATTTTAAAAACTTCGAGGGAAAAGCCGAAAGGAAAAATCCAAAGAGAACAATATTTGCTAGCGGTCGGCTTGGATTGCTACAAATGAATTGTGATATCTCACATTGGTTGGAGAGGGGAACGAAACATTCTTTATTTATAAGGGTGCGGAAACCTCTCCCTAGTAAACGCATTTTAAAAACTTTGAGGGGAAACCCGGAAGGGAAAGCTCAAAGAGGACAATATCTATAGCGGTGAGTTTGGACTATTGCATGAACAATGTAAACTCTGATACTCTCATGCATATTTGCATGGGATCGTCATCAAAGTTCATCCTAAATAATCACCGACTCTTCATTTTAACAAGATATATGCCCCTAATTGTTTTAAACACAGGGGATACGAGTCGAGTTCAGCAGCTGGTGGTTGCAGCGGAATGTTCTGCTGGAATAACAGCAAACCCCATAAAAGGGGAAAGGTAATTTTCACAATCCACTTTCCCTTTTCTTTTCAACATTTGATTTGTGATATTGAGTTGGTAAGTCATAGGATGAATGTGTGTTCTGTTGGTGACGAACAGGTAAGAACGAACCATGTTCGATCTCGAAATGGAAGATTTTCACTGTTTGGGGAGTGTGGGAAGTCGAGGAACTCGGGGAGCCAATTTAGTAGATAAAACATGATTGTGATGCTGATTTTGTCTGTGTTTTTTGGGTACCATTCTTTTATATGGTCATGGATGGAAGGCAGAAGTGGTTAATGTAAAGCTCTCATTAATGTATTGGGTGAAGTTATGATGCATACTATAAGGCCTCATCCTGATTTAATTGAACCAATAAATGCTTAGTAATGAACATTGGAATATGCCTAATTGGGGGAAGCTTTAGTTCTCAATTACAATTCAAACTGCAATTTCACTCTTTTAATTAGAAATAGAGAAATAGAAATTCTAGGAATACATTGTTGGGCAAGTCTCCTTTGTTTGACATTTGAGGATTTACCAATTTAGGGATGACTAAGTTTAGGGCATGATTCTGATATTATGTTAGATGAACACGACTCTCCATAATGGTATGATATTGTCTACTTTGAGCATAAGCTCTCATAGCTTTGTTTTGGGCTTTCCAAAATGTCTCGTACTAATGGAGAGAGTATTTTTTTATTATAAACTCATGATCATTCCCTAAATTAACGGAGGTGGGACTTCCATCACTCAACAAAAATGAGTTACAATAATGAAATATCTTTTCGGGAGAAAATATTTTTAAAAAAATTCTAAATATTTTATTTATTTGAAAAAATGGTAGAATTTTATTTATTTTATTTTCTATCCGAAGCCATGTGAAATCTTTCACACAACTGACAAGAAGCAGAAGAAAATTTGTCCTTATGGAATAACAAATCTGCCCTCTTAGATTTTTTTCAGGCCATTTTCTGAAGGTGTTTTTAAAGCTCTTTTTTTTTTTTTTTTAATAAATTGCATTAAAAAAAAAAAGAAAAAAAAAGCATTTATTGTACTTTGAGGAAGCAATCATTTGGACAGAGATGTCGCAACTGCCAAACATCAAATATGTTTTTACAAAATAATAACAATAATAATAATAATGGATTTTGTAATAAATATGACTGAGCAAGAAAAATTTTAACCATGAAAAAGAAAAAACAGGTATATATATATATATATACATACGTATTAATAATAAATTATAAATTTAATTTAAATTTTTTAATTTTGTGTTTAATATATTATTAAATTTTTTAAAAAATTATTAAATATTTAAATGTCTAAAAGGTATTTTTGACGTATTTTTTAAATTTTTGATAGTTTCGTAATTTTTTTTTAAATATCAAAATATGTCAGGTACCTATTTTTACAGACCCAATTAGAAGTTTAAAAAGTCTTAAAATATTTATTCAAGTTTAAAAATCCATTAAATAGTTTCTAAAATTAAAGTGTCCGATAAATTCTTAAATTAAAAGAAAATTAAAATATGATTTTTTTTTTCTAATAAGTCACTATCTAATTTGTTTTAAAAAATGTTCTAATTAAAATTTTAAAAATTTATTAACTTAAATTTTTAAAAAATTAAAATATGATTTTTTTTTTCTTTAAAAAATGTTCTAATTAAAATTTTAAAAATTTATTAACTAAAATTTTTAAAAAATTAAAATATGATTTTTTTTCTAATAAGTCACTATTTAATTTGTTTTTGAAAATGTTCTAATTAAAATTTTAAAAATTTATTAGATACAATGTTAAATGTTGAAAGTTAAAAGTTCTATTAAAAAAATTTTTAAAAATTTAAAACTTAGACATGAAATAGATACAAACTCTAAACTCTAAAGTTCAAAACTAATGTATAAAGTTTTGAACTAAATGGATACAAATCCAAAAGTTCTTAGAGATTAAACATGTAATTTAATACAATAGAAATCGAAACAAGATTTATCGGATACTCATTCCATCTAGCTTCGCCTCTATCTCGTCAACACAACCATTCATGCTCGAACTTGTATTTCAGAAGCCGATATCATGCTCATTGACATTATGACATAATTGAATTTTGAATTACATCATTTCTACTTCAGAAATGGGGAGAAAATAATAAGGTATTTTGATTGTTTAGAGGTCAGGATAATAGTTATTTAGACCCCTCAAGAAGACTTTCACGAACTCAAATTCAATATTCTCTCTGCAAGTAATAAATCATCCGGTGTTGTTACCTGCAAAGAGGCAGCTCTTTTATTACCGGACAGTTTTGGATAACAAACTTTATTTTCTCTATATAAGAAATTCAAATCAAATGGATGGATCCTAAATGTATGATATAAGATTCTTATTGAATACCTTGATATTGGTATAAGACCCTTCAGTTATGAGCACGGGATGTTTCAAGTGCTCCACAATGGAAACGTCATCTGTTACTTCCAAGCCGTTCCTGATGGAAAAACGGTAGCGTGTTTGTTCATAAAAACATATATCATCAGATAGCATCAAGGAAGCTTTATCAATGAAATATTGACACTTTTGAAGATTGTTGGGAGAAAGCCCACATCGCGAATCAAGGGGTAGATCATGAGTTTATAAGGAATACATCTCCGTTGGTATGAAGTTTTTTGGAAAAACCAAAAGCAAAGTCAGGAGAGCTTATGCTCAAAGTAGACAATATTATACCATTGTGGTGAGTCGTGGTTCCTAACTGACACAATATGTCTATTCTTTAGATATCGACTTCGTTCGCATGATTGTTGATAAACGGACCTCCCGCCTCATTTAGCTAAGTGGAAGGTTGTGCCTAGGTCTTGAGAGGAAGGTTGCCTGGGGTCAGTAGGTATGCCAATAGGAACAATAAACCTTTCGAAACGTGATACTTCTGGTAAGTTACCTTAACAACCAAATGTAGTAAGTATTGCTTTCTTTCTCGAATCTTAGGGGATCTTCCTTCAAATCTAGCTCTAATTTCTAAATTCTTCTAGTAAAATTTTCGAGCACCGACTTCTTTCTAAAGCCCCCAGGGAAGCCCAAATAAGAGAAAGACAAAACACCAATCTTGCAACCAAAACTTTTAGCATACCAACTCAGCACATCGTTCTCAACATTAACGTTGATGATAGCAGTCTTAGCCAGATTAAGAGAGACCAGAAGCATGGAGAAACAAACTTATAAAGGCCCAACAGTTTTTCATAAAAATAGCCTGATTTGGACAAAAATTATTGTATCATCAGCATATTGGAGGGGGGAAATTTCAATATCATTCCTTTCAACTAAAAAAAGTCTTTGAGGATTCTACGATGGCAGCAGTATTGAATTAACTGATTAAATGAATCTTCTAACATCGTAAATAAGAAGGAAGAGAGGATCCCGTTGTCTCATCTCTCTTTTAGCATCAATTTTACCTCTCGACTCCAATTTATCATAACCGAGAAGTTTGCAGTGGACAACCAACCCCAAATCCAGTTTCTCCACCACTTAGTGAAGCCTTTTTTATCAAGCACCCATCAAGGTCTGAGGATACAACCAGCCTTCTTGATATGAACCAATGAATATCTCAATCATATAATATAAACTCAATCATATAATATGAACTTGAAGGAAGTTGTGAAGAATGTTGTTTAGATAAAATCAAGTTCTATTAAAGTTGAACTCCAGTTGTAATCAATTTCTCATTAAGAAGAATCGAGTCTAATTTATGCAACAAGGGCTTCAAGATACTATAAATTTATTCTTAGATGGTTACAAATTTATGATGGATGATTAAAATCTAGATTTATGGTATGTTACATTTACATAGTGGCTAATTTACATAGTGGCTAATTATGGTAATAAAGTAGGAAGGTTATACATTCTTGAAATGCCTCATGGAAGGTCAAGGGGTTTCATTTTGAGGCTATATAAAACCATGTATGTTATCTTTGTAAAGGAGACTTGGAAATTGTAAAGATAACATACATGGCTGGTGGGCATGTGACACTCGAGTAAAAGAGGAGTGCATGAATGAATTGAGACCATATCTGAATGAGAACGATCCCAAGGATAGGATGACTAAGAAAGACTTAAAGGAAAGGAAAGTTATTACCTATACCAACAAGGTGCACCTTCCTTTTCGGTGGCTCAATCATAGAAACTTCATGGTTAAGCGTGCTTTACTTAGAGAAATTCTATGTTGGATGACCTCCTAAGAATTTTTCTGGGATGCATGTGAGTAAGGACAAAACATGCTGGAATAACTCGTTGGTCTGTAGGGATAGTCTTCACTCTTAAGAAGGAATGAGTAGGTAATGTGACCATGTTGCAGGGGATGCAAGGGAATGTCGGGGCACACAGGTGTCGAATCCGAATTTTAAATCCTGGCCATGGGTCGTTACACGAGTTTAGTGCAAACCTTAAATCAATTGGGCATCAAAATAGTTGTTAGCTCTCCTTCAGACCATGTCTCTCAACTAGTCCAGTACTAGGAAGTGCGTCTACAGTGTTTCCTTATAGATAAGGCGAGAAAATAAATGAAAAATAAATAAATACCTGTTCACAAGCTCAAACCCTTTCCTAAGCAACTCAGGCTCAATAACCTGTAAAAAGCGATGAAATGCTAAATTAATCTGCATGTGTTAAATCCTAACAGATTCCACAAAAGATAGCACGTCATATATGCAAATTGACAGCAAACCTGCGGAGTTTGCATTTCCCAAAGAGTTTTCCTGTCCAAGGTTCTTTGGACATAACGATCATCATTCGCCTGAAAAATAATTGGAGAATTGTTAAGAAACGACCACGAATTGTTACACAATTGAAATACTCGCAATATGAATAAATGACGTATCTATATATTTACTTAAGTGTGAGTAGCGACGGGATAGGCCTAGCTGAAACTAGTCTACTATTTTTTGGAATAGAGAGAACATACGTGACAAAATTCTTTTTTTTTTGGAGTAAAAAATTTTATCTAATATTTTTGCTTCTTATAGTCATACCTCCCGGCTTCGTCTATGTAAAATGTAGAAAATTGGAAATTGTAGAAAGATAACTTTTAAGAGTTTTTTTTTTTTCGAGTGCCACTTTTAAGAGGTTCTTATATCATCAATAGTCCCGAAACAACCTACACTTTTGAGATATGCCCCCTAAAATCTAATATAAGCCCATGCAGTAAGACATATAATTAAGGAAAGATTGACGATCCTAATTAGAATGAAATTACAAAAGAAATGGGGAGCCAGAGCAGGAGAGCCAGGCCCCAGAACCAAGTTTAAAAAATCCTTCCATTGGCTAATTGAGAATTCAAACTATAATGTTGAATGGGGAAACATCTTTACTCCAAGGAACAAAAATAAAGATTCTCAACAAAATCTCAAATTGTCCATCATAGAGTAAAGATCGAGTATGTCTCCTTTCAAGCCAAAATTGCTGAAGGAATGATGAAATAGTGTGGAATGAATCTTTTTGTGACTTTTGAAGGGGAGTCCAATTAATGTATGGGAAACAAGAAGGTTGAGGTTCATAGGAAGCACCACTATCCAATTAAAGGTAGGAGCGAGGTTCCTAAACTTTTAGCGTATGAGCAATCATGAAAGACATGGCTTTGTGTTTCAGCATCATTTCTGCAGAGGGTACGCCATCCAGGATAGATGATAAGCCAGAGAGACATCTATGTAGTACCATAAGTGTTTAAGCTTGTATGATTAAGTTCCCACAAAAAGAAAACGTTAAATTTGAAGGATTTGAGGGTGAAGGCATGGTAGAATAAAGAAAATATGAAAATATTTAAGAAAGTATGGGAGTGAACAAATAAGAAAATATACGTGGATGAATGCATTATTCAAAATAGTTTTGAGGGTGAGGACATGGTAGAACAAGGTGAGGGTGGGCTTTTATCCTTTTCCCTCCGGATTGAACTGGACCAAAACAGAGAAAAAAGGGTGATGGCATCTCTGAGTTAAAGAAAAACAAAACAGAGTGGCAAGGATAATTGACAGGACGTGGATTGATAGGGAGGTAGGTGAAGAGGAGGTACCAGGTAACAGAAGAATCTACCAGGCAAAAAGCAAGCCAGAAGGGATGCAGATGGATAATACTTTTACCGACCAAGTTCAGTAAAAGTCCAGCCAAAGAAATAGAGAAGTTGGCAACTTATAAAATCAAATAAATCAGTTCAACTGAGTAGGTTGGGAGGACCTATTGGGCTTAAAATGACCAAACGAGTATGAAAACAAACAAAATATGAAGAGGATGGTTTCAAACTCTGGCTTTAAGAAATTACTGGTTTGATTTTATTTTTTTAATATTTGTGAGTATCCAAGCCAACTTCCACATACCTCAATTAATCTCACGGGATAACCATCTGAGCCAGCTACATTTAGTTGCCAAGAAACTTCAGTCCTAAGATATTAAATTCTAGGATAACCGATGGTGGTTGGTTTGGTAACGTTTTAAAACAAGCCTTTGAAATGAGAATTCAATGCATTCTTCTTTTTCAAATGTGAAACCAACTTTCGTGAAAGTAAAGCCGATTAGTAAAGCCATAGCCCTTGGTTTTTCATGTAACATACCTATGTTAGACAACTTCTAGAAAATAAAAGAAACCAAAGGCTTCCAAAGGGGAATGATAATGATAGAATAAGTCCCAACATATACCTCTTTTATTGTAGCTTTAACAGGAACCCCAAGCACAGCAGCCCCATTCAGCCTAGCATCTTTGAAAACCTAGAAGCAAAGAATCAATATATCATTAAATGAGCCTAATCTAGGTTAAGTTCATAAGTTTTCAGAGAGAGCGTTGCAATAAAAGTCCTGATATACTCACAGACAGAATAGAACATAACGGTAAAATTTGCCAAATTTGCACATCTTCTACATGAAGTCCAATATTCCTAATTATGTATGTATGTATGTCAAGCACTGCCTATCCCAAATTTTCTTTATTCCGACATGCTCATGTTAACGTTTACATCTCAAATATTTGATACAACTAAATCAAATGACTTCACATGAGAAATTATGTTTTTAATGACTTCAGACCATTCCATTTTCTATCAGCAACATAAAAAGTCGTTTATAAATTGAGAAACTGAGAAAACGAACAGTCTTTTATAAAGAATTGGAAGTGATGATGGAAGGAAAATTATTGTAGAACTTTTTGCAGTAAGATTCCTCACATGCAGCAACCAGCATTGGTCGTCTCGTTCCTATGGCCTTTAGGTTATCCCCACCCCACATGAAGTCCTTTTGGTTCCCTAAACCTATCAAGAAGAACTATTTATGGGAAGAACTCAATAAAGAAGTTCCAAAAGGAGTAGAAACCAAAAAACTTTATCCACACCCTTCATCTCCTGAAAAATTCTTCTGTTAATATTTTGCTGGCCATACCAAAATCTCGAAATCATTTATCATTAAATTATAATTTTGACATATATGACAAGCAACAAAAAAAGTACATGTTCCAGGTGATTAATAAGAATGAGAAAGCAACCTTTTGAATATCTCCTGCTAATACAAGAGGTCTGGCAGAATCATGGATGCACACAAGCTCTGCGTTCGAATCAATTGCCTGTGAATACAAATGGTAGCAAAAAGCTATAAGATAATGGGAGAAAAAGAAACAGCATGAGGCACAACATTATAAAAAAAAAGTGAATTCATCCCGGAAAATCTAATGACATATCACATCAAACATCAAGAATCTGCATGATCCAAGTGTAACGTGCAGTTTTTAATATAATTGCTACTATATTATATTCCTTCCTTTGCTGTCAACTGGAAAGTGTTTTTATACATCCTTTGGCTGTTTTGCGAGAGTCTCCATGCCTTCTAATTCCTTTTGTTAATAAATCATGCTTGTCATCACCACCAGGAAAACAAAACAGAAAATTATGAGCGTCCACCTGACCTGAAGGCCACTGTACACGGAATCTTGTCTCTCCTTTCCTGGAAGTGTGAACTTGAGTTGAATATCAATCTTCTCTTTGACATCTAAGAGCAGGAAAAAATAAATTAATTAATGCATGAGCTGGAATACAAAGTGGAGGCATTTGGTGAGAGATAAAAAGAAAGAAAAAAACTAAAAAAAAACCTTCAAAAATATCCCGATAAGAAGGATCGCAAACCACAACGATTTCTTTAACCTCGATCATACGTGAGAAAGTGTACAAGCTGCATTAAGTCACCATTTAAGTGCTTATAAGCTTCAAAAGATGTGTCATAATAAACTAAAGGTTCGCAGAAGCTAGCTATCAAGCCTTAGGAGAGCGTCACTGGATAACTGCCCTTAGAAAAACCAAGTATGCAAGTATGAATCAGGTCAAAATCAGAAACTGTCAAATGAGATGTTTATGTGAGGTCTGTATTTTCCTTGACGGGAAAACCCTTAATTTAAAAAATGAAGGAAAACCTAGGCTCCTCTAAACATTTCTTCACATCATGGACAAACCTTCTATTCTTTTAAGCCACACCTTCGACAAAATAGCAAGCGTTGCATTTATCAAGAGGATTGTTGCCTTTTTTTAAAAGGTATAGCTAAGTAAAGCTTGAAACAGGGATTACAAACACCATTCAGCCCAGCTGTGGAAGGCTAACCATGCCAGCAAATAGGTGTGCACAATCATTGTATTCCGTTTGGTAATTCACAAAAAATGCAGAACTAATCAAAATTAACTATAAAATGAGCATTGAGACCAATCGTACATGTGATTTGAAACTGATAGCCTCAAACAACTACTTAGACTGCAAGCACATCTCTTTATATCTTACCTTAGGCAGATACATATGTTTTCTTCTTTTTTTTTTGTTCTTTTTTTTTTTCGGCATGCTTGTCTAAAGAATATATTGATTGGAATCTATCTGATAATTTTGGATGCATAATGTTCTCTAAAAAATTAGTTATGTCTCAGGCCAAATAGTTATTTGATTGATTAATTTCAAGTAAAGCCTCTTCTTGATACGGACATACAGAAAAACAGAAAAATGTTGCACCTAGACCAGAAACAGACCACAAATCATTAGGAAGCTTTAACTTCTTCAAATCCATAGGAATATGCAAGCTAAAACTGTCCACATGGAACTGTGAAAAACTGAACAAAGACATTTTAATTTATATTTTACCTGTACAACGCAATTGGTTGACCTAGAAGTGGAAGATACTGCTTTGGCATGCTTGCCTAATTGCACAAAGATAACAAAATTAGCATGTGTAGAAGTAAGATAATGAAGAAAATGGGTGCTGGCAAAATTTCACATACAATCCAAACATTTCTTGCATGCACATGAATATACAAGTAGTGAAATGATTAAATAATTAGAAACTCACACCCATCCTTTTTCCCTTGCCTCCAGCCAACAAAACAACAGAAACACTTTTCTCTTTCACAAATTCAGGCCCCTGAAGATTGTTAAAAGAGAAAATTTAAGAGCATCGAACGAACAAGAATAAGAACAAGAAATAGTACAAGTGTAAGAAAGTAAACCACCCCCTGTACAATTTAGCAACAGGAATCCGTCTAACTTACATCCCCAACTTCAGCAGCGCTGCATTTGATCACCGATTTCAAAAACTTCTCATTCCGCTTAAAATTAAACTGAACGCCTGAGGAATTCCGAAATGAAAATATCCAAACCATCAAAATTATCGTCACAATAATATATAAACTACTTAATCGCTTCAGAAAACAGAGAAAACATTCAATGAATAGCCAATAAACCGGAAGCATTGTCCACTCCCTTCGATCATTTCCAATACAAGTAACAAAAATTCCTCTCGTCTTACATGCACTTCAAAATCCAAACATGACCAAATTTGTTAGGAGCCAAACACAATGCAACAAACGAAAACTAGCTTGGACTGACCTGCAAAATGGAGGCTGGAATGAGAAATCGATGGCCGGATTTTAGCCGGAACTGTCCGCTGTTTGCTTGGAAATTCCTTGGAAGAAGAAGAAAATGTGAAGCTGCAATTCAGTCGAGGAAAATTGCTTACAGTTGCCATCTCTCTTTCTCTATCCACGCTTGAATGGAAAAATATTCTCGGGAAATTAAAAAAGGAACACAATTACAAAATTACCCTAATTATCTGCCGGTTGTTTTTTTTTTTTTTTTTTTTCTTTCTTTTA